GTATCGGTAAACGATACAGTTACAAGTGGTTTAACACTGCTATATAAAGATCGCGTAGAAATATGCCATAAAAACCAATCAGCCATTAGCTTTGCATTTACATTCTATATTGGTAGTTATTTCTTAGTTTTCTTTTGGATGTTGTTACGAGAAGGTTGACGGATGACTTCTGATTTAGTTATTCGTATTGACAAAACGGATTCTTCAGGGAAAATGGGGAAGAGTAAGGAGGTAAATTATAAGTTTCTTATCAATTCTTTGGAGAGTTTATACCAGTGTGAATTTATAGGAATTTTCGTTGTTTTATATATAAGTAACTGTGATACATTTCTTCATTGTATATAAAGTGTGTTTTTAACAAAGATATCCGTACAAAAAATAAATATTTGTAGAAAAATTTAGTTTTAATTGTTTGTGCTCGTGTTTAGAAAAATATACTATCATAAATACTTTTAAAAGCTTTTGTTGATCGAATTACAGCCTAGATTCACATTGGGGTGAGTGTGTTTCAAAGTTGAGATAAACTGAAATACTGTAATTTATATCTATATGATATCTATAGATATGTTAGATTGATTTTGATGCTTAATGTGTTTATGTAGGTATAAGTATTTGTCGATTTGTTTATTCTGACGGTTCATTACGGTTCTTTGTCTGTCGTTGACGTCTACAGCTTTCTTTAGCTACATGTGGTCAAGTGACAAGATTCTAATTTACTATATAAGAAAACAGAGCACGAGAAGATCGTGACTGGATGACAAGACCAACTGGTTTTTGTACCAGTCTTCTTTTCCACGTACCTAGTGAACAGACAAACATGTCTGGAATATTATTGCATTTATTTTATAACGAACATGTCACATGTGTTTATCCATGGTGGTTCTAGATTTAACATCTCTTAACCGAGCATGTCATATTCTGCTTATTTGACTGAAATAGTTTAAAATAATGACAACATGTAACAGTGTCTAGTCGGTACAAATAATGATCGTTAAGTGATAATAATTTAACAGTAATAAGTTACTATAACTAATCAGTTTTAAAATTTCGTCATATATCTAGTAAAATCATAAGAAGTTGTATAAAATACACGCAAAGCGTTGTTGAAAAAAGATTGGTTACATAACAGGCTAAATTAGGCAGTTTTGTGCATATTTTGAAGGCTCTGACCTTATTTTATGAACTATAAGAGATAGTTCGTGGGTTAATTTTTATTTATTAAAGCTCTGTCTTATTACGTTCGAGTGTTACAGATTCTTGTGAATTAGCATTCATTCGTGTAAATAAATTAACTGGACAACTGTGTTTATCAGTGTGTTCAGTAAGAGAGGAAATGGATGTTTATAGGAATGTGTCATACTTGTATAGACGTCAGTCTATTATGGAAACGGTATATCCACACCTAATATTATTATTAGGTCATTTTTGACAAGCTCTTTCTTTGTTCAGATTCTGCCAGAATGACAACGAAGCTATCATAGCAACGATCTGTTGTATGTATTCATTCACAAACTTGCTATACAGAGAAAAAATTACCTCGATATTGATCGTATTTTCACGTCTTTAAATAACATGAAACACCCTCGCTCATTTTAGCGCTTGTTTTCTCATTTCTCCTAATTATAGAAAGACAAGATCGATGGTCGGGATCTCAGCAGATTCTTCAACAATCGATACAATTTTCTCTTACAAGCTTATTATAGGAAACCATGCCTCCCCCAATTTTCTTTAGAAATATCGGCAAAAATACCGTCCGTGTGACGTAAGAAGATCTATAAGAACTATTTACATGTCACGTTATCGGCCACTAGTTTGTATATCCATCCGCAACGATCAGTTTATTGCTTAATGTAATATCAATGGAAATAATGATGACGTCGTTAATCTATTTTCGATTTTATTGTCCTACAGTAATAGAACAAGTAGCAGTTATTTCAAATATACAGAAACACAGACTGCGATAGTTGATCAGAATCAGCAGGCGATTCTATTTTTGTGACGAGTTAGACCACGTGATTGATGTAATTATCTTGCTAATTGAGTTCATACGTTTGTGATAAGAAACAACCAGTCATTTAATGTCGTGGAATGCATTGTCATTTGTCAAGCACATTCAAAAATAATTTGTATTTACATAGCTATTATCATGATTATAATGGGACTACATTTGCTTTGGTACTGCACATTCAGTGACATGTGTTTTATGTTAAAATACATAAATAATATGCTATTATTATTGTTTAACTTATTGGCTAAAAATATTTTTAAGAAATTAGTATCAAGAACTTATATTAACATCATACAATTTTTAAAATGAAATTCATAAAAAGATCGGTGAAATCTGGTTATTGCATGGTTAGTTTTCAGTTTTCGGTAAATTCCAGATATTGGTTAGTTCTTGTGGTATAAAATATTAGTCCCAGAATGGTGTGCTAGGGTGCGTGTGACCATAACACAGATAGACGGCTTGTAAGGCAGAGCGTTTTCTTGGCAATCAACAGCCCTTTTAAGGGCTACCACATTTAATTATTATCTCAGGTTACTGTACATTTAGGTTCTCATTGAACGCCGTACAGTGACCTTCTTTAGGCTCAAAATTTATGTCTTTGGCAAACACTCCGTGGAAATTGCATTAAGGTAAATTATCACCACTTTGTACTTTAAAATTAACTCTTTAAGGGCATGACTGGTGACATGTCCGGGGTCCGTACTCGACAGCGAAAGCTGCTTTTTGTGACTTATATTAAACATAGACTACACACACAAATAATGTCGCTTAGTCCAAGAGGTATTCAAACAAACTGTATGTTGATTTATAAATATATGCCATAAGATAATATTAGTTTGAATCATTTGATGTAAGGAAAAAAACAAAGTATATCAATCACATAAGGTGAAATCGGGTTATGGATTAGTCTAATATTTGATAGTTTAACAAAAAGCTTATGTTATATTTCCTGGTAAATTTATATTTGCGGTTAAAGTAAGATTTATAGTTGTCATTGAATCAGATGTACATTGATACATATCTTCATCATGCACAAATTCACATGAGATTGATTGTATCATTTCAACAGTTTCACCAACATTCGCTATTTTGTTTCGTGGGAAAACATCAACAAATTTAGTCGAATAAATAAATACAACCGGCTTTTCAAAACTATTGTAGCATAAAATTAGTTTATTCAAGATACCTGCCCGTTTATACGTATTATTATTGATATTTAACAATCATTATAATAAGCTATGTCGACGTCAAAATCCTTTACATGTGATATTTTTGTAGATTTAAGATTGATTATTCCACCAGATTTCTATCGTAATCAATAATACGTCAGTGGCTACTCGAACTAAAATAGATAAGTACGTATGTATTTGTAAAGGTCATGAGACGCAGAAAATAATTTATTGCCATCCTTAAAATTGGTAGAACAGCTTATCTTCATCCATAAAACAGTTCATTAGACCAATTAATAGAAATGAAATGTGGGAAGATCTATATTATATCTTAGGCTTATTGTAAGTTATTCGGTGGACAAGAATTTTGAATTCTTCATGTATGTAAATGGTATAACATGTTGCTTGACTCCGAGTTGCACCTGTTCATTCCCCTTTCTACATTTGAATAAACTGCATGGATATACTATTGTATAATGATACAGACAAACTGATATAACCTCGACAGATATATACGTCTGTAAAACAACACCCGCCTTCAACTTCATGTTATATAATTATACGCCAACGTATTTTAGCTGCTGTAGATCATTCACACAGTATAATAACATTATATCCACCACCATACTGAAAAAAAATACTTAAACTGGCTTGACGTGGACTTTCCTGGAACAATTTCTAATTGAGTATTAGAACCCCATTGCCGGTCTGTACACGATTTTCACTTGTATTCCAATATTGATTCTGCTGTCTTTTGTGTCACTTGGGATTTCTATATTGAATAAAGCGCAAATTAAAGGCGGAGGTAGTCGATAACGACTAGAACATATTGAGAATAAACATCGTAATATTCACATGTTTACCCCGACATTTCTAAATGAGCCGCGTCATGACAAAACCAACATAATGGGTTTGCGACCAGCATGGATCCAGACCAGCCTGCGCATCCGCGCATTCTGATCAGGATCCATGCTGTTCGCTATCAGTTTCTCTACTTGTTATGCGGTTTGTAAGCGAACAGCATGGATCCTGATCAGACTGCGCGGATGCGCAGGCTGGTCTGGATCCATGCTGGTCGCAAACCCATTATGTTGGTTTTGTCGTGACGCGGCTCAAATGAAGAGTTTCAAAAACTGGGTTATAGTTTATCTTCTAAAAGACCTTATTGTAGCGTGGTTTTTTAGGTTTTATATCACATGCATAGGAGCATATCAAGTAATCGACTTCCCATTCAGAAATCTCTCTGAATGAAAGACTTAATAACGGGCATTAAAATCAATATTAACAGCTACTTTTTGTTTGCTTTTGCTTCCTCCACTCCTGTCAAAGAGTATCGGTAATTGTGTATGTTTGTATAATACATAGATTCTTTACTATTATTATTGATTTACTTTAACTATAGAGATGTATCATTTCAAGTTTAGTCATTATTCATCATTTAGCCAACATTGGACAATTCTCATTGAATATGTTTTTGGTAAACTAAAATACTAAACTATTCTTTACAGTGCTTTTTTGTAATGTTATGCCTCTATTATGAGGGCGTTGACGCCCCCTTCCCCTTATGAAACATTATGACGTAGATACTTTAAGCTTGATTTTTATCGTTAATATTTATCTTTGTTTAAATAAACTCTCGTCTAGTGATATTTTATATTTATTTTAGCACTCGACGAAGAAAACACCAACAACTGTTAAAAAAGCTCCGGTATCAATAATGTTTTGATATTCTCAGATTGATACGATTGTCTCGTATATATACTTTAATGTAACTTTATTTTGTTTATGTAATCATCTATAGATTTTTTTTTGTATATTTTCAGGCGCCCACAAAAGACAGATCTGTGAGATTACGGGTTATGCCAGAACAGAGCAATGATTACAGGGTTGTGGTATTTGGTGCAGGGGGTGTTGGGAAGAGCAGCCTCGTCCTTAGATTCGTTCGCGGGACATTCCGTGAGTCGTACATACCTACAATAGAAGACACGTATCGTCAAGTAATTAGCTGTAATAAACAGGTGTGCACGCTTCAAATAACAGACACTACCGGAAGTCATCAGTTTCCAGCAATGCAAAGATTGTCAATATCCAAAGGACATGCATTTATTCTTGTTTACTCAATAACGAGTCGACAGTCCCTCGAAGAACTGAAACCAATATTTGAAGAAATAACGGAAATAAAGGGTACCGACATAGAAGGAATTCCAATAATGTTAGTGGGTAATAAATGTGACGAATATAATCGTGAAGTAGGGACAGCAGAGGGAGCGGCGGTTGCTAAGCGATGGAATTGTGCTCATTTAGAAACGTCCGCTAAAACTAACTACAATGTAAAAGAGCTTTTTCAAGAACTTTTACAATTAGAAAAAAGGCGGACAATGAGTTTACAGTTAGAAACAAAGAAAACGCGGTCACAAAAGCGGAAAGAAAAACTGAAGGGAAAATGTTTAGTTATGTGATAAAAATGGCGCACACGCAATGGATTAAGTCTTGGTCAGAAAAAAAGGTTGTTACTAAGTTATGCAGGACGACAAAACATGTTTTATTGTTTGAGCATTTAGCATTTGCACACTTTTACAATGTAAAAGAAGAGTATAAGGTATTGACAGCGTCTTACAAACCGGTTAAGAGTTAAAACAAGTTGTGATTGAATTAGTGCAGAAAGTGATTTTACAAAACATAACACCTTTTGTGAGAAAAGCAACAGTTGCTTTTGGATATTTTGTTGAACGCTCTATTTGATAACCGAATGTTTCATGCTTTTTGGCGCCAAATATGTGCAGCTTTATCTACGATTGTTAAGGGTAAATTTTTGTGCAATATAATATCTCAATGTTGAACAAGTGTAAATACATATTTATTAAAACTGTTGCTTGCTTCCGGTATAAAAGCTAAAATTGACTTCACGTTTGTTCAAATAAAATCCAAATGTATGTCTTTCAATTTTCTTTATGTGCAACTTTACGATTTTTACAGTTCAATGTTAGAGGAACTCCGCTAAGGTATTTTGTCATTATCGGTCTAGAATTTGTTTTAAAATTTGTATAGCATTGGATGTAGTTGTTATGTGGAAGTTCAGATATTTTTTACCGCTTGTTTTTCTCTCTCTTTCTTTGAGAATGTGATCATTTTAATTGACTGTGTAAAAGAACCCAATAAATGAAAAGCGTTTAAACACTTTTAGCTCAAATCGGACTAAAATCGCTCCAAAACTCGTTTTTCAATTAAATTCTGAGTATGATTACTGTATGATCTTTTCAATACCTTTTTGTTTAAATTAAGAATTTCAATTTTTATGTTTTTTAGCTTTTTGAACTTCAGTGGAGCTCCTTTAATGTGAAATGGTATATGCCAATTTTAAGGATTATAAATAGTTTGCCTGTTCTGTTATGGTATATAAGAACCAGTTGTTTACTATACTTTATATTGTTGGATTTTTCATGCTGTAGGAAACACTATATGTTAATCTATCTCATTCACTGTATATATAAAAGTTGTTACCTAATATTCTAATAAAATATAGATTTTTGTTAAGTCTTATTAAACCTCCTGTTGTTTTTTTAGTAAATTTTCAGAAGTGAAACAAATGGGCGGTGTTACCAAAAGTGAAGCGATTTCATTAAGTTACCATAAAACGCTTGTTAAAACAAACCTTACAAACATGCATATAAATAAACATTTCAATATATATATACAAAAACATAAATGAGCCGCGTCATGACAAAACCAACATAATGGGTTTGCGACCAGCATGGATCCAGACCAGTTTCTCTACTTGTTATATGGTTTGTAAGCGAACAGCATGGATCCGCATTATGTTGGTTTTGTCATGACGCGGCTCAATTATGTAAATCTACTACAGATAATCTTTGCAATATTTCATTTAAGATAAACCAACAAATACAAATCAAATTCATCAAATTTTGGAACAAAAATGCACGAAACTCATATCGCCACAGTAACTATGCTTTTACATATAAATCTTGATGTGTGAGTAATTTAAAATGTGCCAAACTTTCTTTTGGTACAAAGGTTTAAGATTTCATTTATATTGTTAGAGCTTGCATTATTCTATGCACAATATACATATATACACGCATGTACGTTTAATTCCATGTATAATTACACAACATATACTAAACAAATGCCTAAGTTTTATCAAGTACAACAGCTATCCTGAACCATGTATGACCAAACTATAATGATATTCCCTTATGTCATAGGACATATTTATGTAATATGATAAAGGGAGATGATTCCAGACGTACTAAATAGTTTATAAATATTTCTTGCCATTTGTTGTTTACATATGGCTGTTTCACATCCTCAGAGGTGACAAAGAGATATTGGCTTGCTTACATTAAGTTATCCCATTCCTAGATGATGTTGTTACATATTCTTTATTAAGAAACAGAAAAGTGTTTCTTTTTATGAGAAGTCATGCGCTTGAATTTCAGAATATTTAGAATAAAAACAACGGAAACTTGTTATTTAAAAACAACAACATTTAGTTGCCATTAAAAGGGTGCTTTTTTTGCATACATTTTCTTAAGGAATAGGCTTGTATTTAAGGGATTTTGACCCGGTTTATTTGTATATGAAAAACCTTTGCTTTAAAAAATCTCACAGACGCCTGAGGAGGGCCGAAACGATCGGGCGATCTCTTAGTTTTAAAAAAATACATTTTGAGATTGGCTATGTGTATTCAAGGTGAAAATGGCAGTATAAATAAATAAATTAATTAATAAATAAAATTAATAAATCGATCGATAGATCAAAGGTCTGATTTAAAGTGATATTCTGCTAATTATTTTATTGTCAAATTGAACTGAATGTGACTATATATATATATATCTGCCTAAAATATAAAACTAGAACTCCGCGAGTCGGATGTGTCGCCTTGTGAACAATATAGTTTAAGAGAAATGGCCAGGACAAAAATGAAATTTGAAAATCAACAAAGGGCAATAACTCAAAAAATAAGAAATGCAGATCAGCAGTTTCTGTGCACTGCACTTCTTATCAATAAGATCTATCATCCTATTAAGTTTCAAGTCTAAAGCTTTATAATTTTTTGAGAAATGGCCTGGACAAAAAATAAAGTATGAAAATTAACAAAGGGCAATAACTAAAAAATAGAAAACAGATACCAGTTTTGGGGGCACTGCAATTCTTCTTAATTAGATCTATCATCCTATTAAGTTTTTATGTCCATAGCTTTTATACTTTAGGAGAAATGGCCTGGACAAAAATAAAGTATGAAAATTAACAAAGGGCAATAACTCAAAAAATAAGAAATACAGAGTACCAGTTCTTGTGCACTGCACTTCTTCTTAATGAGATCTATCATCCTATGAAGTTTCAAGTCCATAGCTTTTATACTTTAGGAGAAATGGCCTGGACAAAAATAAAGTATGAAAATAAACAAAGGGCAATAACTCAAAAAATAAGAAGTGCAGAGTACCGGTTCTTGTGCACTGCACTTCGGGCCATTATAAGAGGCAGTCATGCGATTATGACAGCAAAGTATGTAAAACTTCCAAAGATTTTACTTCTTACACACTTACATAAGAATTTGTTATGCCAGCAAAACGTTTTAAGTATAGATAATTTTAATGTTGTGCATTCAAAAAAATCTTTATTCGAATCAAAGGGCATACTATGCGGATTTAAAAAGTTCTGTTTTACAGTATATGATAAGTGGCCTTCTGGATTAAGTGGTAATCACGTAGTTTATTGCAGGCATCTGTTGTTCACTGTTACATAATCATCCATTAAATAAACTCTCAGTCTGACGATGGCGCGGGTATAATGGTCTAGAATTCCGGTAAATTTCTGTCTCGTGAAAACATAGGTATTCCATAAAATTCAGTAAAAAGCTAAAGTTGAAACGAGATTATTGATCTCGGATCTTATGTTATTGATAAATTAATAAAAAATATATGGTTTTCTCAATTTATTGTCACAGTTATTACGGTTTTTTTTTTTTTTATACTGACCTTAGTATGTTGAGGTATTCAAAAATGAATCAAAGTTTCTTTTTGTTTGTTTAAGATAATAATGTTGACAAAAATTTCATCAATATTATCAGAGCTTGCAATACTATATGCAAAATTTTACATATACAATTAATTGTAAAAATAATAAGCTAGATATACAAATATAGCGTCTAAGTTTATCAAAGTACATGTATCAAATAAGACAGCCCATCCAGAATGATGTAATACCAAAAAGTTGATATTTCCTTGTGTCAGTAAACTGATAAAAGGAGATGATTTAAAAGGTACTAAATAGATTATAAACCTTTCTGTTCAGTTGCTGTTTTCATAGTTTCACCGACATCCTCAAAGGTGACAAAAAGACATTGGCCTCCTTACATATGAGCCGCGTCATGACAAAACCAACATAATGGGTTTGCGACCAGCATGAATCCAGACCAGCCTGCGCATCCGCGCAGTCTGATCAGGATCCATGCTGTTCGCTTATAAACCCTATAACAAGTAGAGAATGCGCATGCTGGTCTGGATCAATGCTGGTCGCAAACCATTATGTTGGTTTTGTCGTGACGCGGCTCATTTAGCTATCACGTTCCCTGAATGCTGTTTTACATTAACATTATTAATAAACAGTACAGTGTTTCATTTTATGAGAAGGCATGATCTTTAATTTCAGAATTTGCAAAATTATAAACAACCGAAACTGTTGTGTATTAAAGCACTTATTAAGAATAGTTTTTGTTTTACAGTATACGATAAGAATTAACGTAGTCTATTGCAGATTGCGACATGATCATTCTTCAAATAACGTTAATGTCTCAAAAGTAGCACTAAATTTGAATTTCCTGCGGCCAATGTCCTAGAAGCAAGTCGTCTGATATTTCTGACCCCCAACAACACAATTGTGTTGAGAACATATGTATGTCATAACCTTACAAATATAAAATTGATTTATATCATTTACATTAGTCAGGCAGTTCAAAAGGTTGCGATAATCAAGGATTATAATTCTGACAATATAGGTGCTAGCATTATGTATCTTGTTACATATGATGTGGTAGATGATAAAAACATATATTTGAAGTAGAAGAAATAAACAAGTTACACCCCCTCCCCTAAAAAGAGCCCTAACATTTTTTTTCAGGAAAATTCTCTAGGTTAAATCACAGGTGTTCGGCGCGTTGATTGGTCACTACCCCGCCCCTTCCCGTTACCCACTCCACAGCCCCCCTACCTCTCAAAACCATGTAAAATGCCGTATTTTTCATTTGAAACATGTTTTCATATTTGGTACATGCTTTTTATTCAATTACCTTCATTTCCCACAAAAAGAAAAATCAAAGCGCTGAAAGCACTGCTGGGGGCGCATTATGTTGATTGTATAGTGGTCTATTGTTACAAGCAGATGCCATTCCTACTTTCAAAGCAGATGTCACATTTTTACTCGATTATTCGATAAGAATAAGTAGAATTATCCTAGTCATCTGAACATTGGCGTCTATCACCTCAATTTTCCCGAAGTCCATTGTGCTGTCCTACCAACAGCTATTGTTTGCATACCTTGTGAAATATAACTCCTTCAAACTTTTGTTCAGTTATTATTATGCAAACACAAGAACTGTCTTAGGACAGTAAGGCTCGACTATTCGAAAAAGTTGTCACAAGGGTGTTTATCGAGTATAAAAATGCTTACCAATGAATACATAAAACTGACCGAAAAGGTACAAAGGCTTGGATTAAGATGTTTTATCAACTAAATCACTGCTTTATTATCATGAATGCATAAAATTGTCCCAAAAAAGGCACAAACCCTTCAGTAGCTATGGAGATAACATGCTTACAAGCAAAACTTTACCATTAAATTCTAAGTTGAAAAAGGGGAGAAAAATTCAGCCTAAATGCTCGATAAAATTATGGATCTTGGTCAGTAAACCTACATGTACAATTATGACCTTAAATGCATGTGAAGTTTTAATATTGTAGGCAGAGTTATCCAACTTGTCAATCTGATGTACATTGTTACGATAAATAACTATTGTTAAGTTTCAATTGAAT